AATGAGATACATTTAACCGATGGACAGAACTTATAAAATATTAACAAGTGATTAATTCTTCAAATCTTTGATCGTACGCCAATACGAGGGGACTGTAGAGTTAACTTCAAATTTTAAGAAATGAAGTTTTGATACCGGTACGTAAATAAAGGTTGTTCATTTATCATACATAATTATAAATGCGTTTCATATGGAAAGCCAGCATTAATTAGAACGGTAGTTTTGAGATCGAATATTTTATATAATAAGTAGATATGTCACATAAAAAGTAGAAGAAGGAGCAAAGTTAAAATAAGCTCAATTTTTTTTTTTTGGAATCGACAAAATTTGATTTTGCCTAGTGCACTATTCTTGCTCGTGTTGACCTTCTCATTTCACCTATAAAATAAATTACAGTAAATAAGGAGGCAGAATGGTGCACGTCAAAATAAAATAATTCATAGGATAACATTTTGCTTTATTAATTCCATAATTAAGAAACCCTTTGAAACTTGAATTTTATAGGCCTTTAAATTTGAGAAAACCATTCAAATCATCTCAAAATTTATTTATTTATTTAAAGCAAAAATGTGTTTAAATTATGAACTTACCTTACATTTCCAAATATATGAAAATAATTTTTATACATCGTTTGTTATTTTATTTAAAATAGTAAGAAAAATCTCGATATGTACGCGCATAAAACTCAATAAAATGAGAGAAATGTGCGTTCGACAACTTGTTATTATAGATATATAAATGATTTATTTTATAGATCTATGATTGTTATAACCCTAAATACTAATAAACCAACCCATAAAATCTAATACCTTTTTTTTTTCAATTTATGATACATGGGTGTATAAATTGTATGTCAGATAATAATTTTAATATTAGTATTTTTAAAAACCTTTTTTGGCTACCTAAATATCATTCAATCACACGATTAAGGTGACGACTTAAAAAATCCAGTTTTCTGGTATTCTAACGTTTATAGCTTTATACAGGCATTTTGGTAAAATTAAAGTGAATTGAAGTTCTCTAATATTGAATAATGCAGTAATTTACTTTTAATCATACTATCTATATATCAAGTTATTAATTATAATCGGAATTAGAATTAACAATCGAATTTTTTATAAATTGATAATATTAACAAATCCTTAAAGGATATACCTAAAATATATAACTAGAAAAGAATTTGGAATGAAACTAAGATGAAAAATGAAACAAAGGCATTGAAAAAGTAAAAGCAGTTAAGATCCACCTATGCTGCAAGAATTTATTGATTAGAATCGCTAAAGTAAAAAAATCACACATCTTTAGAAACTTTTAATAACAATCAATATTACTGTAGAAATATGCAAGACACATCTGTTTTCTGCTTTAAAAATTATTTTAATTTTACTTGATAGTAAAAATATAGTATTATTATTGTTAGTAGATATTTCCGCACAAATATATAGTATTGTTAAATTAATTTGATATACTTCATAAGGAGCTAAATATGACATTTCTGATGTGTAAGGGCAAGTACCATGTTTGATACAATTCTATGGTGTAAGGAACTTAAAAATAGAAATCATAGGTTTCATAACATTAACAAGCTACCATTATATATATATAAAAAAAAAACAATAGGTATGTACCACCTTTTATGCGGTCTTTTGAATCACATTAATTCAAGAAACAAGTGGAACACATTAGGTAAAGCTAATATTTTTAAATATATAATTAGGAACAGAGTGTGGATAATCTTAAGATGTATAGGTGATAACAAAAATAATTAGACAAACAAATATACATATATATATGTATATATATATATACATATAAATACACATATATCATACATATATATATACACATATATCATACATATACACGATTATTTTATTTTTAAAATCTTTTTATAACTAGAATAATTTAATTTTTTTTCCCATGGTAGAAAAAGGAGACTGTAACACAGTGTTTAATAACACTGGACACTTATACACATATTAATAAAATGCACGTTTGTATACAAAACTAATTAACAGCGCGGAACGTCGTCAAAATTAAACAAGAACAAGATAACCGAATACATAATAATATCTCCGACACATATTTATATATATATATATATATATATATATATATATATAATAATAATTAATACAAAATGCAACATACGTAAATAATTATCTTAGTCCTGACTGCATGCATACACAGATATTATAATTCTATTACAAACGACACATTGGATTCATTTGAAAAAATTCACTCAACGGCTGATGGACAGATTGTAGCAAAAAAAAAAAAAAACTGCATCTTAGCCTAACATCCCCCCCCAAAAAATAAAAAATATCAAAATAATATATACTCCTGTTGTATCCGGGTGAGGCTGTCATGATTTTTTTCCTGCGTTAACTTAGCTCTTTCTCGGTCTTATTTTTAATTATTTTTTACTTAATTTTTTACAGTCGGCTTACCTACCAGTGGTGTAATTGGAAATATAGTTTATAAATATTATTTATATTTTAATTATTATTATTTATTTATTAAATGTTTTACTAACCCTTTCACCAAGCTATTCTATGATAAGTTTTGAAATAAAAAAATTAATTTTTTTAGAAAAAAAATATAAAGCGTACAATAATATTCTATAAGTAATGCTAATTTTTGTGTTAATTTTTTATGGCTTACGGGTGATCTAAATACATAAAATAGTTTATTTTTAAGTTTTTTTGTTGTAGTTAATGACTTGAACGCCTTATATTAGAGCCAAATATAATAAAAAACAAAATTAAGATCCCTTTTTTTTAAGAGAAGAATATTTAATGTACTAATTAATTCCACATAAAACAACAGTTAATGACTGTAATTACTTTTAATTGTCGTTCAAAAAAAAAAAAAATAAATAAATAAATAAAAAAATAAATAAATAAATAAAAAAATAATCATAATTTAAGTGAAAGATACATATTTTTTTTAAATTAAAGGTACGACAAATAAAGGTAAGTTATTAACTAATTAGAAACTCTCATTATTAGTATGAAAAAATAATTGAATTGTTTAATTCTAATAAAACAATTACAAGTTTTAAAAATAATATTAAAGACATAAATCAAAAAATAGTGGTATAAGCGTTCATGTCATATATATGGTAATAATTTTTGTCTACGAAAAAAAAAAATAAAGCCCAAATGATATTAACTATGAAAAATGTAGCAGTTATTATAATAATAAATAATAAGAATATAAACTAAAAATATGAGCATTATAAGTTATTTTTATGATTATTTTGTAATATCAATTTTGTTGTTAAATGTCTAATAAACATGACATTGTTTTCGCAAATTTAATTTAAACAAAAAAATTAAATTATAAATGGTTTATAATAATAGTTCTAAAATACACAAATATTATTGAATAATCCAAACTTTTTTTTTTTTTTTTTTTTTTTTTTTAATTTTAAATATGTATAATATTGTAAATAGAGATTGGTGGATATCCAGCAGTTAATAAAAAGCCCGTTTACATTTTGTTTTGATTAACATAAATTTAAAATTATATTTTGTATTTATCATATCAATCAGCCGTCTTATTTTCTACTATAATTAATACAAATTTGTTGATCTTAAAAACAACCTTGTTAATGATATTAAGACATAAACGGCCGTCTGTACGGATTAAACTAGTATTTCAAATACAAAATGAATGTTAAGAATTTACAACGAAAATATAAATACGGGAGGAAATGTGCCCACAATTTACTAATATCTATCCTATAATAGTAATAATAATAATAATTATAATTAATTCAATTCTTCTGATTCTTTTTATACATATATAAATGCCCATGAAGTTGCGTTAATAAGAATTAGTATTTCATGACATTTTTACAGAAAAATGTAAATATATAATTGTTTTTAATTCCCCAAGTAACCAAGCTATTTATAATGAATCTTTGGTTAAGCGCTTCGTAAAGCTTGGGGTTGCTTGGTCAAACTGTTCTTGTTCTAAATATAATACTATTATTAAATTTAAGTATAACAATAAACTGTATATAAACTATGGCGAAGTTTAAATTACAAAAAATAATATATTGATGTGAATCACAATGTTATAAGTCACAGACAGTTATTTTGAATTATAATTGTATAATTATATAATGCCCATAATAAGTTGAATATGTGTTTATGATTATGTATTTGAGTATAGAACAAGAGGCTAGAGACAAAATTGTTTTATGTAACAATAAGTTTTTTATATTTATATTTCAATAAAGAATAAGAATTATTTTATGGACTAGACCTCCTACTAGTCCAAGTTGAAATGCTACTGCGGCATTGTTTAATTTTTTTAAGTGGGGATGGATGGATTATCGCTATATATGTAGCCAAGTTAATGTTTAAACTTTTATAAAAGAGTATAAAAAAAATTTGCAAAATAATAGATTGCGTTTTGTTTAAGTTTTTTAATGGGAGAAGATGTTTAGAAAGAACAAAAATATTTTAAATTTATAAATTTTGAGGGGTGTTTTAATTTATTATGAAATTTTGTATCTCCATTTTCTATGCAACACTCCTGGGAAGGGAGAGTCACACCCTACCATAGTTGTTTTTTTTTTTTTATAAAATTTTTATAAATATATAAATATATATATAATATATACTATTTAAATATAAAAAAAAAATTAACAAAAAAAATTAATAAATTAAAAATTAAATAACTTTTAACAATTTATCAAAAATAAATTTAAAGAAAAAAAAAGGTATTTTTTTTTTCAAAATTTTGTCTCCCTCTTTTTTTTAATTTAAAAAAAAAAAAATGCCTAACTTTAATCATGTATAAAAAGAGCCGATTGCCGAAGGTAGACAGAGACAAAAATCATCTCTATCCCTAACAATCGTTTGTACTCTTGGTCACGCAATCAGTCACATCCCCTCCTTTTGACCATTAAGGTCAACAGTAGCTCTTAAATTGTTGTGAGGAAAACAGCTGTTAATCCCTATGGCAAATAAACCGACAAAATAATGTATTAAATAAATAACATTATTTTTTTTTTAATTTGATGTAAAAATATATAATGTCGGTGGAGGAGATATATTTGCCTGAGACTAACAGTAACTGTCATCGACTCACTATTGTGGTGTCTCTGTGGGTCTGTTGGTGCGCGGTTGTTGTGGTCTTGGCACTGGATTCGCTCCAGATGCAACCATTGAACGAATTCTTCTTTGAGCTGACTAAAATCGAACAACCAAATAAATAAATAAATTATTCTAAAAATCTTAATGCTTATAATAAACTTACTTGAGTAGCTAAAAAGTGACCAATTATGTGTACTGTTGTAGTATCCTCAGAACCATCTGTTGATCCTTGAGTAGGTAGTTTTATGATAGATCCAGTCACTCTTTGCAGTTCTCTGACATTTGATCCACCACGGCCAATTATGCGACCAACTTGACTACTTGGTACCAATATTTCAACAGTCAACCTTACTTCTTCTGTGGCTGGGACAAAACCTTCATCCCGCAACTTGTCAAATATCATACCTTGAGCCTAAAGAAAAATCATATTTAAGTATGATAAACTTACAAAAGAAATAGTTCAGATTATTACTTTCCACTGAGCTTCAGCTGTACCAACAATTGTTACTTTTCGACTAGCTTGTTGAGTACCACCGTTAGAAGTGTCACCTGCAGCTGTAGTTTTTTCATTTTCAGTGGATGCAACTTTAACAGATGCACCACTAAACCTGATCATGCTACGGATATTGGAACCTTTAGTACCAATAATAGCACCAACAGCACTATTAGGTATAAATAAAAATGCAGTTTCCTAAAATAAAATGAAATATTTGTGTTAAATATTTATAAAAAAAAAAAAAAAAAAAAATCAAAAAATTGAATACCTATGTACTACAGTTTCTTATAATTTAACTCTTTAATTATGTACCTGGATATCAGCAGCCAAAGCTGGGTTAATTGGTGGAATGGTTGAAGGATACATGGGAGGGTATGGTGCTGGTGCAAATGGCTGATAACTAGTTGGACCACCGCGGCCTGGATAAGTTATTCCTGTTGCTGACATCATTGCCATCGGATGAAGTCCAGGGAACATGACAGTTTGAGGCTATAAAATTGTTGACAATAAAATATAATACAAGTCATAGAGATTATTATTTGAAGGATTTATTTATTCTAAATATTTACAGCCATTGATTGTAGATCATTTTCAAAACTTTGTCGGAGTTTTGCACTAATTTGAGCTTCTGCTTTAGACATATTCTCTATTGAGCCTTTTACAGTAATTATTCTTTCATAGTTGAAGCTGTTGATATCATTTATACTAAAAATTATTAAAATATTAATGATCTTCTAATACCTTACAAAATATATTCTTACAAAACTTACCTAGATACAGTGATTTTTGTTTCAGTCTCAGACATAATTCTCTTGATCGTATTACCCTCTTTTCCAATTATTCTACCAATTAGATTATTATGAGCTAAGATCTTCAGTATTACATCACTGAAAATTATAATACAATTTAAAAATAGATGTAATGAGTTGCGGTAATAAAGAAGTATGTCGAAATTGTATAATTACCCTTTATTTGTGTTAGTAGCTTCTTGCTGCATAACTTCCAAAATTTTACGACATGCATTAGTACAATTTTCTGGATTACCATATATTGTGATTGCTTTCTCCAAAGAACCAACATTGTCTTTTCTATGAACATCAACCCTAGAACATAATTTAATACTGCTATTAATTAAAATTAAAATACACTTTATAAAGTATATCATTGACATTTATATTAAAATGAAAAAATATTATACCTGGCTCTTGTTTGTTGAGTTATTTGTCTGATTGTAGAGCCACCTCTACCAATAATTGCTCCAACCATATCACTGTGTACTAGTATTCGTAATGGGAACTCTGTTTGCCTATTTCCGATAGTGGGAGTAGCGCCAGGAGCACCAAATGTAGCGTGCCTTGGTCTTATTGCACTACGGTTCCTCCTTTCCATGGCTGGCTCAACTTTTACCTGGCAACCCTCAAGCTCTAATCCTGGCAAATTTGCTAATGCACTATAAATAAAATAAATATAATTATTCTACATTAATAAAATAATAATGATAATGTATTTATAGAACATTTGACTAACTTATAATTTGTTGTACCCATAGTTGGCTATTACTATTTCAAACTAGGTATTAATGTATTATAATAACATTAATGGACCAAATATAGTAATCAGTATTAATTTTCGCACAACACAAACATTGCTTTATATGAATATTCTATGGTGATATAAAACAAAAACAATGTTCTTGGGGTACTCACTTGTGGGCTTGTTCAGAGGATTCAAAAGCAATCTGTACGACTTGCGTTGGTCCATCGCGTTGGCTAAGCTTTTCGATTTCTTTCACCTGACCAAATTGCAACAGTATCTGTTCCAACTGGTCGAATCTTACGCCACTGGGCACATTGCTAATCACTATTTTATTGGCGCTGAAACAAGACGGAAGTTATTAATCCGGTTGCGAAAACCGTGAGGCGGACCACGTGTGGGTCCGTCACACCGTTTGTGCACAAGTTGTGTCATCGCGCAGGGGGGTGCAAATGGGATTGATGATGAGGACGATAGAGGAAGGATACGGACAAGAGAAAAATGTATACGAACAATTTTCGACATCGTTGCG